GCTCGTGCGCCCAGGTACTGGTTGCTAGCAGGCCCATCCCTTTCCACCCCTCACTCTAAAGGCACCTCAAAGCGGTTGTGAACCCATGGGTGGGCCAACATTTGAACTCCTAGGCCTGACTGGGCCGTGAGAGTGTTTTCAGCTCCTTATCCCTCCTTACCTGTGGCGCTTCTCAGCCCATTGAATGGGGCAAACTGTCATCCGGCGCGTCCTTCGAGGGAGCAGCCAGAGGTGGCATGCGCATGTTTCTCGGAGAGGCGATGTGATGAGGCGCGGTGGGCGCATATATAGGCGGACGGTTCACCTCTCGCTCCACCTTCCCTTATAAATAGCGGCCTTTCCCTTCATCTTTTGATACGCCTAACCGAAGCTTTGCCTTCTCCGCATCTCTGCCGCCAGCATTCGGATCCAATGCCTTCGCTCTTCCTCAACCAGCGTAGCTCTCGTTCTTTCACCCTTGCCTCCCATGTAGTCGTGGTATCGCTCCGATGTTACCCACGCGCGCATAGAGGGCCTCGTCAAGCGTGGTCTTCTCTGCGGGAGGACCAACGCGACAGAGTGGCTCGTGCCCAGTCACGAGGAGGCGCCGGCACCGCACGATGGCTACGTCATGTCCTTCATGCCCTTCCACGACTGCGGACTCACGATTCCTCCCCATTCGTTCTTCTAGGGACTGCAGCACCACTACCAGATTGAGCTAGAGCATCTGAACCCCAACGGGATCCAGCACATCATGGCCTTCATCGCGCTATGCGAGGGCTATCGGAGGATCGAACCCCACTTCGAACTATGGAGGTACTTCTTCTCTGTTTCCCTACTTAAGAAGAGGGATAGAGCTGGGGACCTGCCGGTGACGATAGGCTGAGCGGGCATCCACCTCCGAGGCAGCGGGCCACCAAGTACATGCCCTGCCAGCTATCAAGGTTCAACAAGGGGTGGCATGCGTAGTGGTTCTACGTGAAGAACAACGCCGCCGCCCCCTAGCTGGACTTCACCAGACGCCTCATCGAAGAGGCGCCGCAGGTGTGGTCGTGGGGACCTCCCGAGAAGGAAAAGAAGAGGATGTGCGATATCCTTGATGCCATCATGTTCCTGAAGAGCCACGGCCTTCGCGGGGCCAGTGTCATCAGGGCATATCACGCAAGGAGGGTGGCGCCGCTGATGGCGCGCGCCCTCCCGCTGTACGGGATGACGCCCGACGCGTAGCTCGATGGGACGGTGCTCGCCCAGGGGCCGCTCCACGATAGCGAGGTTGCGCAGCGCATCAATGTCGACGAAATCTGGTCGACAGTCTATCGAGAGGTATACCCACGGTAGTAGATGATCGGTGGAGGTGTGCGTAATAGGAACCAGATGGTGACACAAGGCGCAAAGACAACAATTTAGACATGTTCGGGCTGTCTGATCGACGTAATACCCTACGTCCTGTGTCTTTGTTGGATTGTATTGAATATGAGATGATTTCGAGGGGGTCCCTGCCCGCCTTATATAGTCTGGGGGTAGGGTTACAAGTCGATTAGATCTAGATCTATTCGGCTATATGGTAAGTATTTACAAGGAATACGATATCTATCATATCCGAACAGATCCTTCTCTATCTTCAAGATTCTTTCCTGAAATTGTATGATGCATGCCGATCGGTGTCTTGCACACACGCCTTCTCCTTAAGGGCTGGACCTCTCCTGGTGGTGCGGCCCATGTCTACTGCCATGGGTACCTGGGGTTATATCCCCCACAGCTATTCCCCGAGCGCCTTGTATCCGCTGAGCATCGTCATCTTGAGCAAGTCCGAGCAATTTATCTTATAGTCAGACAGTAAATCTGGTAATTCGACCAGTTTAACTAGTAATCCAATCAACAAAATAAAATGCCAACCAGTTTAACTGGTGATCCAAACGGTGGAAGTCGAAGCCGACCAGTCTAACTGGTTAGAAGACCTTAAACTTAGCCAAGTAAAGCTTGCCAAAAGGATATAAGGAGCTCAAGATTAATTTTAAAAATTATTCACCTCAGATGAAGTGTAGCCACTTAGACTCCGTTTGTAAGGTCGAATGATTATCATCCGTGACTTAGTCAATAAGGAGGGTAAATTAGGAAATAAGCACTACATTCATCATCAGGTGAAGTGTAGCCACTTAGTCCTTGAGCCTACTGGAAGATGAAGAATGAATCTTGTAGTAGGGTCAAAGAAAATAAGTCTGAAAGCTTGCTGACATCATCTGACATGTACGTATCAAGACCTAGACGTGCTGTCTAGGATCAGCACCCTGATCCGAATAACATGGAGCAACTTGATAGCACATCGATGAGACGTAGCGAGATCCGAACACCAAGGGAGTCCACAGCTTAGCCGGCGACTCTTGCACGAAGAACCCGAACGCTGAGTCCTCAGCTTAGCTAGCGACGCTTGCACGAAGAATCCGAACACCGAGGAGTCCTCAGCGTGGCAGGCGAGCCCCCATCGTCACTAACGATGAAGTGACGGACAATCTGACCGATTGGTTGGTGAAGAATCAAGCATCGAGCACCCCAACCATCTGGTCGGTGTTGAAATAATGTCGAATAGATGTGAACGCCAAACAGTCCAACCAACTGGTTGGCAACGAAGTCATGAACCTAGCGGTCCGACCAGTTGATCGGCAGAGAAATCCAAAAGCCAGGTGGTGTGACCACCTACACGATAGTCCTTCAATACAAATATGTAGGATGGGTAGTACATGATGAATTCGGTGATGAAGAAAACAGAGCGGAGTTTATCAGGAGCAATATATCGGTGAATCTTATATCCCGCAGAGCAGTTTATGTTTATTTGGACGTTGTTCATATTTGTAAAAAGAATAAAATCCTTAAAATTTGTAGAGTGCTGAGCACTTAAAAATAGAGAAAAATTGGAGAGCATGGAGAGCACTTAGCATTAGGCCATGGAGAAAGAGGGAGAAAATCGAGGAGAAGAAGCCCTCTGGGACCGCCGTGTCCTTCTTCTCCTTCATGCGGGTCCCGCCGATGCTATAGATGCTTGACGAGGACGGCTCCACGTCGTGCTCCTATTCACCATTGGCTCCATGCCTCGACGTCATCAGCTTGTCGTGGTGTTCCATCCTGTCCCGGCGGACAGTGTGGTGACCCGACATGCTTGTCAGCGGCCGTACAGGGATTAGGCAGCACAGCGCCCACGCACCCGTCACTGTTGGCAATGCGAACCCCGGGCATGGCCTGTCGTGGCCACGGGTCACGTCAAGGTGTGCCCGCGCCCTTCTGGTGTCAGAGGCTTGACCCAATCCCACACGCTTGGACCCGTAGTGGTTGGGGGTGGTACGGACCCTGCCGGATGAGGTGGGGCCCTCGCCCGAGGGGTCGGGCGAGAGGGCTCCCGCACACTCGGGGTCGGGCGACACGGGGGGCCGTGCCCGAGGGGTCTGGCGAGGCGAAACCGTCCCTTCAGGGTCGGTCGAGACTGAAATACGTCCTTGATTATTTAGACGGGTTGTCGCCCGCGGTCCTCAAATCCCTTCTTCGGGTATGCCTAGTATCGATACCCGACAAGTTTGATGACGGAGAAAGTCAATACAAGTATGTAGTTTTTGTAACATGGAGATGCAACAAAAGATTAAGGAGAGACCAACAAGGCAAATCCTATTTAGAAAATATATGAAAGACACCTTAAATTAGGGGGGGGGGGGCTCTGGTTGACGAGTACAATACATACGACCGTGACATAGAAATAGAGAGAATTAAACTTTAGAGAGATGGTTCTTTGGCCTTAGCAGCATAGTCTAAAATAGTGATATGCTTCAAACAAATCAGAAGTGCATGTCGGATTGGAAGGATCTCGCAAGGGCCTAGAGGGCGAGGGTGAATAGACCTATTTTTCTAAAATCAACAATCTGAATAGAAACTGTTAGATCGAGGAGCCTTCAAGTATATCCGCGGAACCACCTCGTTGCGGAGGTTCTGGACAGATGCGCGGAGCTTCCACAGAACAGAGCAAAAAACTAACTACAGGGGAATTGAGTGAATGAACTTTGAATCAATTGATATACCAGCCTTCCTGGGAGTTGGTTGACTTTCTCAAAGCACTGGTTACACTCAGAAACTAGTACGGCCACAACCCAACACCAGTGTCCGCCACTGCAAAAGTACACGACTACTAACGTGCCCAACAACTGCCAATTTCGTGATCCATCAACGCCTAATCACCTATTGGACGCTAGATAAGCCATTGTCACGCAGGTCCAAACCGCCGCTGCCAAAGTCACGTGCGGTTGGCTGTCGAAAACTCTAGTCATAGCTCTTTGTCATCATAGACAGTGATGAGCCTGGCGTCATGCGTGACCCTTCGACATATTAGCACTGTAGGATCATACCCTAATCAACTAGATGATTCCACCATATCCGAATACCTCTTAGGCTATCTTGTAGCAGACACCATAAAAATAAAAAAAACAGAAGACCATCGTCGCGCTCCTATCACCTCATGGTATGATCGAGTCTCAAGGCTCTAGTTTGTGGCCTCCTCAAGGTGCTGACGTCTGAGATCCTCTGTAACAAGACCATCGTCTATAGGAACACCATGGAGTGTCCATGGCCCTTGAAGAAAGACACGCACAAAATAATATTAAGAATGAAGAAACGGGTATGAATAGATAGAGCCTGATTTTAGATAAATTTAGGAAGAAAAAATCGATAGAATCGGGTTTGGATCAGCCGTCAGTGAGATATTGGTGCCACCATATTAGCTAGTACTAAATAAATACTACCGAAAATGAAATAAATCATTTTGAACATTTGGACACGGGGCATGTGATTACGCTGGTGGTATTTGAGCTCAGTCTATTGTGTGATGGGCCTTAATCGCACGGAGTGGCATGGCCAGGGAGTGGAATTTAGCCTGACGGCATTGTCATTGGGATGCTGGCATCTGTCCCAAATGGAAGGAACAGAGGAGTAGCAGCCTAGCAGGGCATCGCCGCCGGCCGTACGCACAGAGGCAAGCTATGTAATCAATCAGCAGAGCAGAGCTTCCTAAGCACCAGGGCCACGCCGTTCCCAGGCTCGACGGTGAGCCTGAACGCGGGGCGGTGGACGTACCCGGGCGACAGCGCGAGCTCGAACCTGGGCAGGAGGAGCGCCAGCACGACCTTGAGCTCCACCACGGCGAGGTTCTGCCCAGCGCAGGTGCGCGCGCCGACGCCGAACGGCATGTACACATGTGCGCCGGCCTGCAGGCTCCCACGACGCCGTTGGCGAACCGCCCCGGGTCGAACCCGTCGGGGTCGCCGCCAGCGTGGCCCCAGGCGGCGGGGTCCCGGTGCGCCAGCGCTATGGGCACCCGGACGCCGGTGCCGCTCGGGACGTGGAGGCCGCCGAGCGTAAGGTCGCGTAGGGCTTCCCGCGTCACGAACGGCGCCGGCGGGTACAGACGCAGCGTCTCCTGCACCACCATCGTCACCGTCTTCAGCTTCCGGATCGTGTCTGCGTCTAGAGGCTTTCCATGGCGAACGACCTCCATGACCTCGGCGCGCGCGCGGGACTGCCACTCTGGGTGCGCGGCGAGGAGCATCAGGCACCAGGCGGCGGTGGTCGACGTCGTCTCGTGCCCCGCGAAGTAGATGTTCTTGCAGTTGTCCACGATGAAGTCCTCGGGCGTGCATGAACTGAAAGCGCTGGCGGCGGCCTTGGCGCCCTCGACGATGGAACGCAGGAAGCCGTCGCTGTTGCTCGCAGATGATGTCGCCGGCGGGTCGTGTTCTTCTTCGTGCCTCCTCGCTATGTCCAAGATGAGGTCGCGGATGCTCGCGCCGCGCCTCCGAATCTCTCGGTTGCGCTTTGTTGGTAAGTACCTGAATCCACATCTTATTCAGGTCAGGAGGAAAAGTTTTGCAGGGATCAATGCAGGATGCATGATAATGTGCCTCATCAGGCATGTCGATAAGCTCATTTTCTAATCGAGGAGTTCATGTGCTGCAGAGTTTTTCGTTTTAATGTTGAAGGAACATAATGCAGAGTTAGTTCAGGAAGAAAAGAAGCCTTTGCTTCCATTACCCTCTCAATTTCTGTCCCTCGGTTGCATTTTGATTTCTAAATCGTATATATCACAAGTAATAGCATATGGCGGTGATACTAGTTCAACAAACAAACAAAAAATGTGCAAATGAAGTTTTTTTTTTAATCTCAGCATACCTACTACCAGGAAGAGCAGCAAATATATCTTGCTTTGCCATTGCCACCTGAAGCTGTCGAATCTTGCTGAGTATGTGAAAACCTGCTCCCGAAAGCAACTCTTGATATGACATCAGCCGAGAAGTTCCTCAAGAACTCATGAACCACCACCTCTGCACCGCCACCTCCCCTGTCAACTATATCTTCCCATGAAACCAGCATTTCATTTGCAGACCCCGCCATCAAATCCACCATTCCCTGTGGATATCCACCGCAACAAACTGTTCTCATGACAGGGCATTTATTTCAGTATGTAAGCGCTAACCACAAATAACTTCTATTGTAGGAGAGTTCCAGAACACTAGCTAGGTATGTGAATCGTTCTGTCATCAATCAACTGACAGGTTCATTACGAAGGCTGAATTTTTACCTTAACCTTGTCCATGAAGAAGTGAGACGCGATCACCTTCCGTTGATGTGCCCAAAGGTCACCGTTTGCCGTCAAGATTCCCGTGCCAAGAAGCGCTCCAAGCTGCTTCTGCAAGTAGCGAGGCTTTCCAAGATCCAAAGACTTGCAGTTGGCCAGCTCCCTCACCATGTCTGGATCCCTCACAAACAAAGACTGGATGCTTCCAGTGGAATACAGGTAGATGGAACCTAGCACAATGTGACAATTGATTGCATGATATTTAAAGCTTCTGTTATGACAGAAACATGATATGTCTCTCTTTGCTGGAAAGTGAGTAAAAGCAGAACCATTGCTTAGCTCGAAACAAAAGCATTTTTAAAAAAAAAATGGTATTCGGAATGAAATAGGCAACGATTCAATTCAGCACAAGTGGCGCTGACATACCGTAGACCTTGTTCCAGTGGTGGAAGTAAGGGAACAGAGCGGCCATGCGGCCATGTAATTGGAGGAGAAGCGATGGTTGCCCCCTGCTGCTGCTTCTTGTTGTTCTTGGTCAGATTCGGCCAGCTGCTTCTGAATCCTCCTCATCTCCGGTATGTTCCGCAGGAGGAGAGAAGGCTTGGGGCCCTTCTCTCCCTGGCGCCTCAGCCTCTGCCTGATCCTCTCCGGTCTCAGCCATTGGAAGGTCCACAGGTAGGACAGGAGGAGGATGCAGATCAAAACCGGAGGCAGCAGGCTCAGCCATAGCACTAGCAGAGAGGAGACGCAGGCATGTTCCATTTGTGTCTGTGACTGTGAGCAGGGAACCTGGAAAGCTGGAGATAAAGCTCCCGGGTGCCGCACCCAAAAAAGCAAAAGCAAGAGAATGGAAAGACTAGGGGAACACGGACAAGCTCAGCTCTGTCTGTTTGCTGTGACGAGAGCAGGTGGTTCCTCTCTCTACGCTCTAGTCCTGTCACATCGTATATTTACATATATACGTAGAGTATTAAATATAGATTAAAAAATAACTAATTATATAGATTACGACTACTTTGCAAGAGGAAATTTTTAAGCTTAATTAGTCCATGATTTGACAATGTTGTGCTACAGTAACATGTGCTAATAACCGATTAATTAGGCTTAATAAATTCGTCTCGCGGATTACTCGGGACTTGTATAATTTGTTTTGTTATTACTATCTGAACATTCATATATAACACCCCTAAACTTTAGCCCATGAATTTAAACACCACCTAAATGGTAGTGACGTCAGTTTTCAGAGAGAAAAAAATGATGATTAAGACTAGACAGCAGAGAGAAGGGTTATTATACTTCAGATAGACTACTACTAATCAAGGAGTAGCGCCCGTTCGCTTGGCTTATAAGCCGTACTTTTTTAGCCAACGAACAATATTTTTCTCTCACAACAAATTAGCCAACAATACTTTCAACCATGGCTTATCAGCCAAGCGAACAGAGCATAGATGAGAGTTGGTCCCGGTGAGTGAGGTTGCCGCCTGTCCTAGCTAATCAATCCCCAAGGAAAATTAGAGCAAGGAAAGAAAGGGACAGGAAAAAAACAAGCCGTGGCTGTTTGCCGGAGATGCTGGTGTTTATCATAGGAGTAGTTGCCAACTTTTTTTCTGTTTGTTTGATCAAGCTGTGGTGGTTTCACAGAGGTGCAACTATAGTTGGTTGTTTTTAGGTTGCCAGCAGTTTTTGCAGTTGTGTTTTCGTTTTGTCAGCTCCTTGTACTTTCAAGTTAGGTTGGTTTCCGTTCCGGAGCCGTGAAGTTATTCAGTTTTTGGCCCGTCGGGTATCGGGTCTCTATTGCCATCTTTAACTGCTAGCGAGTAGTGACGCCGGCGGTTTTTCCTAGCTCGTCTGCACGTGGGCTAAGGCCCGTACAAATTTTTCCTGGTTTCTGTGGTTTTTCTGTTATAAAATGAATCGATTCCTATAAAATTCAAGTATAATTCCTATAAAATTCACGCGTTGCAAAGAAGGTCCCATACTGCAAACCAGGGTTTTTAAAAAAAAAAATATTATCTCCTTTTCCATGTGCCTTTTTCCCATCTGTTCTTGTATATATATACATACAGAACCTAACGATACATGTCTTCTTCCTAGCTTTCAATTCACAATGTCAATTATAGCTTGAAAATACAGGGTAGTCAAATGTCTTTCTTTGGTCGAATTTCAGTGACAGGCCATCACATTTTAGAGCAGAAGAAGAACAGCAACAAAATAAGTATATGTTTCTATTTTAAAAGAATATAAATATGATTACCTCCGGTGCCACCACTGGATGGTACCCTATCTTAAAACAAGGCATGCTGAAGGCAAGTTGAGTCTTCTAGGACCACATTGTCATGGGACGAATCAAAGGAGGATGGCTAAACTTCAAAATTTTAAGCTGGCAGTTAACTAAAGCTTACAGCACAAGTTTTGAACATATAAGTGGCGCACAGTTGAGAAATAGAAAGTATCAAATATAGTCTGCTCTCCTGAGCCGAGAAAATTGTAGTGTAGGAAAATATGTGATTGAGTTCGTCACAAGAACAAACTAATATAGATGAAACATCAGGAACTTCAAATAAAGTGGCAGCACCAGGCACAACCAGACATCAAATTCGGTGTTTGGTGATGGTGGTTGGGTGTTGCAGGTTTGTTGACTCGTGGTCGCTTCCACTGAAGCACTAGTTGATGAGCCCAAGTGCATCAAAGAGGTCAGCCTCCTTGAACATTATATACGAGACCACATTGTACAAGTTCAATTCACGTAGAGGAAGCAACTTATTCAGAAACAGAGATCATGGCAACCTTGTCACCACAAGGGCATGCCAAACTCAGGCTCAATGGTCAGCGAAACACGGAGAGTGTTGGTACCCAGGTGACAATGAGAATGAGAACTTGCTCAGCAGGCGTGCAAGAAGAACCTTCAGCTCTGCCATTGCCAGGTTTTGCCCGGTGCACAGTCTTGGTCCGTATCCGAACGGCATGTACATGTGGGCGGCTTGCACGCCGCAGCAGCTCCATTCGCGAACGGTCTGGACGAAATTCGTTAGCATCTGGACCCCAGGCTTCGAGGTCAAGGTGCAGCATTGAAATGGCTACTTGGATAATGGTACCATAAGGGACGTCAACTCCACCAAGCCTGATGTCTGTCAGGGCTTCACGCATGATTAGTGATGCCCGGAGGGTACAGCCGGAGAGTCTCTTGTATCACCATTGTAAGCTTCAAAAGATTTTAATGCCACTTTTAATGTGCATCACCAAAGAAAGATTTAGACCTGCAGGAATGAGGAGAGTCTCTTACTATTTTCAGCTGACGAAGGACGTCAATGTCCAGCACTGTCTGTCCACAGCACACTTCTAGAGCTTCAGCCCGTGCACGTTCCTGCCAGTCTGGGTGTGCAGCAAGTAGCATCAGGCACCAAGTGGCAGTGACCGCTGTAGTTTCATGCCCAGCAAAGTAGATGTTCTTGCAGTTGTCGACGATGAAATCTTCAGGGGCACTGGAATAGCTTGGGCACTGGTTTGCACCATCGACAATGGCATGCAGAAGGTTGTCATATGTGGACATGTGCGTGACAGCATTGCTGCGGCTTTTGCTCCTGTGTTCCCTTGAGAGATCCAGGATTAGTAACCGGACTTCTTGATCCAGCATTTGTATCTCCCAGTTTCTCTTGGTAGGCAAGTATTTCCTGCAATAGAACAAGATTAATAACCAGTCAGGGTGTTCATTTCCATTGCCTTCGTAATTTCTCAAAAAAAAAAAAAATCAAAAGTCCCTTACCACAGTGCAGACAGCCCGACAAATGTATCCTGTTGAGAAATTAACTTCTGGAGCTGCCTGAGCTTGCAAAATATGTCTTTTCCTTCTATGAAATTGCTCCCAAAACAAGCTCTAGCAATCACATCCGCTGAAAAGTTCCTCAGGTATCCATCAACATAGATCTTCTGACTACCTCCCGTGCTATTAAGCATATTCTCCCATGATTGTAACAGCGGAACAGTTGCATCCACAATCAGCCCTATCATACCCTATCATTGTAGGAACAACACAGTTAGGCTTAGGGTAGGAACAACACAGTTAGGCTTAGGCTGATGATACAGTTATATGGGCTTTTTTAAGTAAAATTTAAGAACCTTAATTTTTTCTACAAAGAATTGTGGTGCCAGGATCTTCTTCTCATAGGCCCAAAGGTCGCCATTCGCTATCAATATACCTAATCCAAAGAGAGGTTTTCGTGATTTCATTATATGCTGTGGCTTCCCTAGCTCTGATGGAGTCCAGTGGCCCATGTCTTTTACCATTTCTGGCTGAGCAACATGCAATATCTCCAAAACTCCTGTTGAGTAAAGGAACACGGGCCCTGTTCCAATTTTCAAACACCATGTAATGACATAACAAACTGAACTGAAATATTTAGATAATGACAGAGCAATACATAATGGAAACTTAAATGAATCAAAAGTCAACCACTTATAACTGCATACATTGATTGCGAAAGTTCAACAGAATGTTCACAAGACAGGACAACCCAAGTCACAAGCATCTCTCAGCTACAACAAGCCAACAAGGTCCAAAATTCCCAGGACAGCTACACAATCATTTAGCTAAATATTTCTTAATGTTAGACCACGGTTTCTACAGAACCTACTTAGTTACTCGTGGACAAACTTACAGTACTGAACTCCAGAGAGTAGAGTACACATTCTTAATATTTGGGTCCACTTGAAAACAAAGTGTTCATGGATGTCTTTTCTGAGGCAACTATCTGTACACAAACTAAATGTAAGGATTTAATTAAGGTAAATATCTGATCATATGAAAAAACCATACTTGATACAAAATCTGGCTATCACTATCAGTTCAGACTTCAGAACATGCTATTTAGTGAACTTCTAAATTTTCTCCTAGGGGAACTTACTAATGGAGGTCCATAGCTTCAAGTATAGAACTAGCTGCACAGTGACAGATAGAGATAGGCAAGGGGATAAATACTTAAACTGCATTCTTGTTTGTGATCCTGAAACAAGATAATAGCCTAATACTCACAGTGGCAAAGACTGAATGATCTTCCATCAATCTGTCATCTTTGTTATTGGGGATTTCTGGACATGAAAAGCATACTCACACAAGATGATTAACATCGCAAAAGGAATCTAAGACTTACTTAAATGCTAAGTATATGATGTAAGGTTCTGGCCATCCTCATATTTGGGAGACCGATGCAAAGTTATCTTCAAGCATAGTTAATTAACCTTACTGAAACTAGAGTTATGGTGGTAGACCCTTGAGTCTAAAGGTTTTAGATTGAGGATACATGAGATGCGACTTTGGCGGAGTTGTACAGGAGGAGGGAGATGTGAGTTTGAAAGGTCAAGTAGTGCCTCAGAAGGATACCTTTCGGTATCTGGGATCGATGCTACAGAGGGATGGAGATATTGATGCGGATGTTAGCTATAGAATCAAAGCATGGTGGATCAAGTGGCGACAAGCTTCTGGCATTCTCTGTGACAAGAAGGTACCACAAAAGCTAAAAGGCAAGTTCTATAGAACGGCGATTAGACCGGCTATGTTGTATGGAGCAGAATGTTGGCCTACAAAGATTCGACATGTTCAACAACTGAGTGTTGTAGAAATGCGTATGTTGCGATGGATTTGCGATCACACAAGAATGGACCGAGTTTGGAACGATGATATACGTGATCGACTAGAGGTAGCACCAATTGAAGAAAAGCTTGTCCAACATCGGTTGAGGTGGTTTGGCCATGTCCAAAGGAGACCTCCAAAGGCACCAGTGCATTGTGGAGTCCTAAGCCAAGCTAATAATATGAGGAGAGGTAGAGGAAGACCGAAATTGACATGGGTGGAGGCAATAAAAAGATATTTGAAAGCTTGGGATATACCTAGAGATCTATGTTTGAATAGGAGTATTTGGAAAGCAGCTATTGAAGTGCCTGAACCGTGACTTGGGGCTCTTGGTGGGTTTCAACTCTAGCCTACCCCAACTTGCTTGGGACTGAAAGGCTATGTTGTTGTTGTTGTTGATAGTTAATTAACCTTACTGTCTAGCCTTTTATGAACACTATGTTTCTAGCTTCCGATTATGGAAAGCTGTTGTGGTTCCAGAATGAAGTAAACAATCACGATCATGCTTATCAGTCTCATTGCAGTGACCCTTATATAAACAGATAAGCAAAAGCAAGGGATTCTATACATACCATATGTCTTCCTCCAGAGAAGGAAATGAGGGAAGATGGTGGATATGTAGCCGTTCATGTCTTTGTCTTGCCTCTGCACACACTTGAGTTCTTGTCGGATTCTCTTCATCTCCTGGGTGTTGCCATAGAGCAAAGTAGGTTTAGGACCGTTTATGCCTTGCCTCCTCAACTTTTTCCTTATCTTCTCCAGCCTCAGCCATAGGACTTCATATAAGTAAACTAGAGCTAAGCCAAGAAGTATGGTCGAAACAACTACAACTATCTCAAGTAGTTTCTCCATTAGAGGGGGAAGTATGAGAGGAACAAATGAGTCTTATGTCAAACAGACAAGGCAATCAGTACTTGTATAGTCTTCTAGCTTAAAATACTTAGTAATGAACTCCTATATATTCCAGTTTTAAAAAAGCTCCCATCTGTTCCCATACTTGTTGAAGAAATGAGTGGTGGTTTGTCCTTTTCCTGACCTACTGACTCCCATTTACCCATATACTTGTTTTAATAATGGTGAATGATTGTCCTTTTCCTGACCTACTGACGTTCTCTAATTGTTTAGATCACTTCCAGCACGTAGTTTCAGAGACATGCCACCTTGAAAACATGGCAAGTATTCATCACTAGACTTTTAGCAACTTGATTTAAGGCTTTCTGCTTGCAAATTTTTCCCTTCCAGTGTTACTTCGTGAGACCATACAGCCACCATATATTATTACTACATATAACTCTGCACTATGTAACTAGCATGACACAGGTGGCTCGTTTGGTTGGGGGTAATTGAAAGAAGGGAATGAGAGTTTAGAGGTAGGAGTTTACAAATATTTTCTTTGTTTTGTGGAAATGGGAGTTTTGGTGGAAAGGGGAAGGGGAGTTTAGGGGGCCAACTCCCACTAATCAATTCCCTAGGGGAGGGGTGGTAATTGGGAGGGAATTGTGCTCTTATTAAAATAAAAGTAGATCCTTACCGTTCATCATGATTTGCCTCTTCAATTCCCTTTCTTATTTCCCTCCACGAACCAAACAAGGGATTAGGACTAAAAGTCAATTTCCCACCTTAATTCCCTCTATCAACTCCCACCAATTATTCCCATGCCTCTTCCAACGTATTTGCCAAACACACCCAGTAGACTAGATTAATCTAGGCAAGAGTTTTATATCAGAAAGAAAGAAAGAAAATGAGGAAAAAAGTCACAAATAAAACACGAGTGAGCTTCAAATAATAAATGAGGAATTACCTCATGGTTGGAACAGATATTTTTTTAACATAAGGCAAATATCAGAAGAAAAAAAACAACAAGGTCAGCAATAGATTGTTTAAGGCATGGATTAAACTTTGGAGTGGAGAGTTAAGCATATTTAATTTAAAGCAGAAGCTTCATAGGACTTGCAAATTACCAGTCAAACTACAACAAGCATCATGCACAATGAGACTACAAGACAACAGATACTTTAGGTACTTACTGATGAATGCATGGGTAAACTTTCAGGCAGAGTGTTAGTTACATGCTTGAAGTTACAATCTAAGCAACCAAACATACAAACTATTAATCAACAGCAGCAATCATCAGTATTTGTTTTGCTGAACTGACTGAACTTGGGTACAAGAACTCCTTGGTGGATCACGTCAGCAGACACAAAGTTTGAACTTCAAATTAATCTTGAACCTTTTCATACACAAGTGACACAACACTGGCAACAAGCACACGCCATCACACAGACATTTGGTATCAGCAGGTATGCACTGAATATTTAGAACATAGACCACCAACTTCTTCTTGTGTCTACATGTGTTGTAGTGGTAGTCTGGGATCTACGGCACAATTGCCTTCTAACATTGCCAGCTGGGTTGGTGAAGCACAAAACTAGAGCTAAACTGACAAGACTTACAACTGGAGCTGCTGCAATAAATAACCATCTATGACGCCCATGTGCTCCATTTGGCTGCTGTGCAGTAGGAACAGCATGTTCACGTGTATTAGTCTCTTCCATTGTATCACCACCTGTATTAGAACTTCCATCAACCTCAGGCTCATAAGTTTCTTCAACAACTTCCTCATGGATGGGTACGCTCCACCCAATGGATACCTCCCTCATTGACTGTGGCACGCTTGGACCTCTCATATTCCGGGTCATCTGTAGGAAGCTCGTAACGACAAACTGGGCATGTATTCCTAGAGCTAAGCCATGGCAAGATGCAAGATGAATGATATAGATGCATGCATGGTAGCTGTTTTGCTACAGTGGTGACAGGCATATCATCTTTGCAGACTGGACAGGTTACACCACCGTTTATCTCATAGCTTTTGGAGATGACCACAGATGAAAGATTTTCAATGACAGATGCCGCTGCAGGTGGAGCTCCTCTTCTGGAATTGTTATCCTCAGCAAACTGCTCGAGAAGCATTTCAAACTGTCTTGCATCAACATAATCTCCAGGATTCCCAATAAAAACTCTCCTGATTTCTCGCCCTTCCATGTCGTCTCTCAGATCAATCCTGTTAACTCCTTGGCTTCCAGCTATTCTCCAAGTCCACGCAGCACCTTCAGCTTCCTGCTCATTCAATCCACTCGGGGCGATATCATGCCATTGCTGCCGGTGCTCCTGCATGGTGTCATCTGCTTCATCCAAATCAGACTCTTCTGACTGCTCATCCTCATCATCATCTTCAGGATCATCTGAATCCCACTGGTATATTCCAGCATTCATAGGATCAATATCTGTATCCGTGTTCATGTAGCTCTCATTGTCAAGCTGAATGACAATTTCCCTCCCAACCATGGCGTGGCGATCAACAGAAGCATCCGATTCCCCACCCTCGTCACCAAAACTGATGTTCGACTCAATCTCACCAAACACAGAATCAGCGTAACTCAGAGCATCACTCTCGTCATCTGAAGTGTGCCATCTCTGGGACCGGCTCGGCGTAGAGCTATAAGACGCGTGCTGGCGCGGCGGAACTGTCGGAGAATCAGCATCCGCCTCATGACCCTGCCTAGCCAAGTTGATCAGCTGGGAGAACTGCTGCGGGAAAGCATCCTCCTCCGTGGGAGGCTCATGCCCTGTCACCCTGGAGGACCTCTGCCTTCGCCATCTTCTCTGCCGGTTAGTCCTGGGAGTCTCGTCCCTGTTGCTGTTGCTGTCACTAAGCACGGTCATCTTGCACTCCCTGCATATGGCTAAAGCTTCGAAGCTGTCGGTGACCTCGGCGTCCAGAGTGAAAGGCCGCGTGCAGACCAGGCACTGCACGTCTGGCTGAGCGGGGAGGAGCTCGTAGCTGCCGTAGTGCCTTTGCTGGTCAGACATGGATATCTGGTTCTTTTAAATCCGAGAATACCCTTTTGTATCTATCAGTGTGCCAGGGAAAGGAGGGAATATGCGATCGAGTTCATACATGAACTGGACTCCAAGGAAGCAGATCTGTCCGCTGGACAGGAGAGGACATCCGGATCAGGTGCCCGTGATATGCATCAGTAAACACGCGCGCATATGTAAACCTGCCAACGAAAGGAATGGAAGTGATTGGTTAATCAGACGGTACAGAGATCAAACCAGATTAATACACGCGCGAACTAATGGAACTAGCAGACAAGGAGTTTGAGCAGGTGAGGGAAGATCAAGATTTGAGGGGGGAATGGAATAGAACTATAGAAGTAAAACAGTAATCCTAGGGTGGGGAAACTAGAGAGGGAGGGGAAGTTTCCTCACCATGAACCTCGATCCGGACGGGAGAAGCCTCGCGAATCGATCCTGGCGATCCTGGCGAAGGACGGATGGGGAAGAGGAAGACGGATTGGGGGGAGAGAGGTGTGGAGGTGGTTGGGTTCTCCGCTCCTGAGATTTGTCAGATGGCTTCTCCTCCTTTCTCTGCTCGCCTCGGTAGAGACTAGAGAGATGGATTCATCAGATGTGGGCCTGGCCCGCTCGTGTAGTAGGCCTATGTGCTCCAGCCCAGACCAGCCCAGGTCGTGGTCGGGTTGATTTGATTCGTGGAGCCAGGCCCACACACGCATTCCTTGGCCTCTTCTCTCGTTCTCGACTCTTTTTTTTTTTTGAGCGTTTCATTGCAGGCCTGGAATCGGCTCCGCCAAATGTGGAGAAGAAGAGAGGGAGGCAGGCTCAACCCCCAGGCAGGATTCCACCCCCCCAGGGCGTGATGAAGATAAATGTTGATGCCGCACTATCTAAGAATTCTTGTATTGCGACGGTGGCGGCGATAGCAAGGAATGAGGCAGGCACTTTTCTGGGAGCGTCTGCAATTTGTGATGGGAGGTGTTTCAGACCATGAGACGGTGGAAGCGTTGGCCTGCAGAGAAGGTTTTAGCACTTACAAGCGACCTCATGCTACGGAAGGTCATGATTGCTACCAACGACGTGGATGTAGTGAAGAAGATGCGTGGCCCTGGGATGAGCCCCTATGGCCACATCATCAGGGAGATCAAGGCAGGAATGGCAAGTTTTCGCGTCGGTGGATATCGTCTATGAAAGCAGGAGCTCGAATGTTGATGCTCATAGATTAATCAAAAGCTCCATTTATGAATATGTAGGACGACATGTTTGACTGTTATTTCCTCTTAATGGAGTCTGTACCGACTACTCTAGTATATGGTGGTACTGCATTTCCAAAAAAATGTTATATGCACGTAACATGCATGTATCTGGTCGCTTCTTAGGCCCCGTTTGCTTGGAGGAATTTTGGAGGAATTTGTGAGAGAAAACACGGTTCTGGATGAAAAAAGAAGCAGATCAAACCGGGTTTAAGGGCACGCAAACGGGGCCTTAGTGTTTTGGGCCAGTCATGTTGATGTCATGTGCAGAAAAAATGCCGTTGAACAAACCCAAGAAGCATTTTTCTCAAACACCTCGCTAGAGCCATTATTGTAGTTGTAGCTTCACCAGTTGTCAATCACATTGTCTTGTGTCAGCATATGTTCATGCTCTATCCTTGTCTCCATTATTGGTTAATCTGATGTTGGAAAATATGCAAAAAGCTGCTCAAACAATATGATAAGTCTGATACACACCTTTTGTGTCTTTCTTTTCCTCTTTAAAAATGCAAGGCAGAGCTCCTGCCCTTTTTTTCTTTTTTTTAAAAAAAAGTCTGATACACCACCCGAGATATCTGCACTGATAAACTAGAATTTAGGTTTGTCGTCAGTGTTTTACCAAATAGCGGCGTCAGGGGAACCTTTGAGATACTGGTAATCAAAGTACGGTTGAGAAAACAGTCAATAATACCGGACTTCAAGAAAGACCAGACTCACACCTTCAAGATCATCTAACAGATC